AGGGAAAGAAGATAGCAACTGTGAGGCTTGGTCAGAAAATGTTGGGACCCACTGTTGCAGAGGGAGATCTTGGTACGGGCATGTGCTACAGAGACCGAAGGAAACGCTGGTAGCTAGAAACCTCTGAAAATTTTGCCTCACGTCCACATTCATTGTGACTTTCATCCGTCTTTAAAAAGGCTTTGCTAACGCTGAGGGGGATGGAAAAAAGATAGCAACTGTGAGGCTTGGTCAGAAAATGTTGGGACCCACTGTTGCAGAGGGAGATCTTGGTACGGGCATGTGCTACAGAGACCGAAGGAAACGCTGGTAGCTAGAAACCTCTGAAAATTTTGCCTCACGTCCACATTCATTGTGACTTTCATCCGTCTTTAAAAAGGCTTTGCTAACGCTGAGGGGGATGGAAAATGGTAATCGCTGCAGTGCCTACCCTTCTCAGCGGGACTGAGCCGGGCCGGTTTGCGGGCAGATGTGTCGCTGCTATGCAGAGGTCACTTGTATCGTGGTCAGCGGCACGGATCAAGAGGAGGCGGGTAACCTTTATTGGCCCGCTTACCATAACCACACCATTCACAGCATCCTTGCATCTTCCCTTTCCTTTAATCTTCGGTCACGCTCTTCTGTCCTCACCGGTCATTTGTTCCTCACAGAATGAATTAATAAAGAAGTAGAGCGGTTTCCTAAACAGGGTATTTAAAATGTTCTGAGTCTCCATGAAACAAGTTATAAAAATATGCTTGTGTCTTTTCCTTCCTTATTCTTGCAGATGGAATTAGCTTCTCCCTGCAGAATATATATCCATCACTTCAGAGGTTTCAGTAGTTTATATTGTTGCAAGTTGCTGCTGGAGTGTCTCATACTGAATGATTTCGGATCATGACCTTTCTGCTTTATAGCCCTGGAAGCTGTCATGCCTGCTGTGTTATTCCTGTTATTTATGTTATTTTCTGTATGTTTTGCAGTGTTATTTCTACAATCCCAAGCAATCATTAGCAGTCTTCCTAGCTTCTGTGGGGCCATCGTCTCTATTAGTACAGGAGACTTTGTACAGCAGACACTGTGTGTAGTTGTCCAAAGGAGATTTTTGGATCAGAATTTATTCCCTCTGAGGTCTTGAGAGAGGCACTGACCTGGGTTTCTCACCAGGCACAGGTGATGTACATCAATTCCCCTTACCACCTGTAAGCACCTTCTCTGCAAGCTTTTTCAGCATGAATTTCAGCTCCTGAGACACAGATGTTTATGCCAGGTTCTGATGCATAGAATCACAGAATCGTTTAGGTTGGAAAAGACCTCTGAGATCATTGAGTCCAACCGTTAACCCAGCACC